GGCAGCATGAGTAGCTGCAACAGTTTTATGTGTTCATAATAGTAATTTGTAGTCATAACAGATCATTCATCACAACATAAAAAAGCACCAAAATGTTACTAAGCATGTTGAAAATACCAAATATCTAAAAAGGCCTATGTCATAAATCCTACATTTATTTATAGCCTAATTTTCAATACTTTGATATTATTCCTAATAACAGCTTTTTCCATTTTGGTCGTTATTACATTATATAATTATATTTCTTCTCTCTGAATATCTCTGTTTGCTACTGTAGTAACCTGATTACCCTGCAGGCACTCCAGTCATTGTCCTGAATATGTTGTTGGAGTTGGAGTTAACTGAGCCTGGTGATAACCAGCTTCATGATAGCAGTTAACAGATCAAAATGTGTGCAGTGAAAAAACTTAAACAAACGATGACTTCCAGTAAGCTCAGTGTGTGTGTTTCTGTCCTGTCAGGTGGCGTTATCTGTGAGGACAGTGCCTACAGTATCGCAGTGGTGCCCACTTCTGGTGCCCGGTGCCCGCGGTGCCGCCGCTACACTGCAGAGTCAGCAGACTGCCTGTGCCCGCGCTGCCAGAATGCTGTTTCAAAGATTCACTGACGGGCCTGAAGTCCTGTCTCCATGAAGATCAGCAAACATCACCTTGCCTGTTTTGTTTCCCTGCTTCGGGTGAAGTTGCTCTTCAGGGCTGAATATAGACCAGACAATCCCTGTCGCCATCAGCTGAGAGATGTAAAACTGACTCCAAATCAGCTGTTGCCTCACTCCAGTTTTCTCTCACTTTGGCCGCTGCCAGTGAAGAGCAACTGCAGCTTGGCACAGGGCTGGCGGGGGATGGAGGGGATAGTATGTGCTTCAGCAGGCTTCACTGTTTTTATGCACTTACAAACTTTCATAGAACAGCAGGTGTGAAAACCAAAATATCCAAGGCGGCCTTGGTCACATGACTGTGTTGGTTATACATCTGATCTTGTATCACCACACAATCTAGGATAAAATGAGCAAGATTGTTTACTGTATGTATAGTTGGGAATTGAGGATATTAACTTTTCAGTCTACAAGGGATGCCATTCAGGAGGCTACTGTGTAAATACCTGGAAAAGGAATTCACTACAGGTTTTACTATGTGACGACAACAGCAGAGAATTTAAACTGTGTAAGTTCTTGTAAACGCCTAGCTCTGTATCAGAAATCTTGTTCCTGCTAAACGTCCCCATAAAAAAGGTGTATGAAAATAATGTCTCTAAATTATAAATAAATGGAGTTTTATCTCTGAACACGGTGATGATACATGAGTATCAGCAGAATTAAACAAGTAGCCAATACCACAGCATTATCTGAACATAAAGCAAGCTCAGGAGAAACCCTTTTATTCTGCATTGCATCAGTCCAGAGGACGCAGCTGGACACAGGACTACAGAATAGGAGGTGTCCAGGCACAACTAGTAAAGTACTGTCTGCATATATAAATAAAAACAAGGTCCATATGGGTGGTCTTTCTGCAGTGTCCTCCATCCCAACGTTCCTCTTTCCATGAATGTTTTCCTTCCTTATTGTCTCTCCATCTGCCCACTGTGGTCATGCCTCCAAAAGGTGTCTCTGCCGCCCTCTCCCTGGGTCAGGGTCTCAGGGTCAGTCCTCAGTGGTCAGGGCCTCCACAGCCTCTAGAAGGTGCAGGTGAAGGCTCTCTCTGTTAGTGTCTGTTTGGGTTGACAGTATGACCTGGTCCTTGGGTCCCTTCTGGTCGGGACTGACTCTGCTGTGTCCCCCTCTGATCGGATCTCTTTTGATTTTATTTGATAGTTGATTTGTGATTCAGTCAGGGCAACTTTTATCAAAGAACTGATATTGCAGCATTGTAGTTATGTTTGGTGGTATGGCTCTGTTCTGGGATCTCCCTTCCTTCCTACATGCCTATGTGGAAAGCAGCATTAAAGACCCCCCCCAAAACAACCATACGCCCCTCCACGTGCCTATGTAGAAAAGCCATGAGGCAGGGAGAGTACCTCCCCACCCATCCGTGTGTATACATGGAAGTCCCAAGGCAGAGAGAAGCAGCAAATGAGTTAACAGAACAGCTTTGAAGGCAATATACTGTGGATTAATTAGATCTGCATCAAGCACATCCCTCAGAAAGTTAGACAACATTCAGTCTCAGGCATTTAAAATAACTTCAACAGCAGCACTACAGGTGGAAATGGGAGAAATGGCGTTAGAGATGAGAAGGATACAGTTATCTCTGAATTACTGGGTTCATTTATAGTGAAATCATCCAGCACTTGTAAGGCTCTCTAAAACCTTGTTGAGAAAAGGAGAGGAGGGAGACAACAAGCTTTGGGTGGACAGAAGCAACAGAGCAAGAATTAGCTGAATTAAACTTCAGTCCAACAGTACCACTGCCAGCAGTGCTGCCTTGGCTCCTCCCTGAAGCCTCAGCAGAACTTACAGACTTATTAGAAATGAAGAACAAGAACACAGCGTTTGTTTTGAATTCACATACTATACAGGCATGTATTAATAGTTACCACAGTTACATCCAGATCTACACAGGTGCATCAAAGAGTTTAGTTAATAAAAGAGGAGTAGCTTTTATTGTTCCAGAGATTAGTGATGAAGTAGCAGCATACACAGGAGAAATGCTAGCAATTTTGTTAGCAGTGTAGTGGATAGAGGAAGTAAGACCATTGAGGGGGGTTATTTGTTCAGATTCAAGTTCATCAATAATCAGTTTACAGAGCAGTCACTCAGACAGCAGACCACATGTCAGAAGTAAGAGGGAAAAAGAAGTGAACTGACCCAAAACCTTAGAATGGAAAGATACATTTTGATTTAATAGAAATTCTTAGAAAGAACTCGAGAGCTATGTGTTATCGAAGAGTTTTTCATTATCTTAGAGTAATCAATATGACTGAGAGGATTTATTTTGTATTTTTGTTTTGTATTTTGTCTTCATCAAATCCTTGCTTCTAATTGGATGGTGTGTTCTATCAGTAATGTTTGTGCTACACTATAAAATAAATAAATTTCTAATGCAGCTGTGGTTCTGCCTGTCTACACAAAAATATGCACTCTGTTGCCAGTTTATTAGCAAAACCTAGAGAAAACGGATTAAATAATGCAATGATGATTAAGAGATTACAGTTTATAAGGTGGCAATTCAATAATCATTTTGGAGCATGTAGTTTGTGGTTCTGTTAAACCGTAATTAAACAAAGATGATTCTGGTATTTAGTCTGGCTTCACGGATAAAGGCCTATTTTAGTAAGATCTGTGGACAGGAAAGTCTGCTCAATAATTATAAAGATCAATGGCATAGAACCATAAGCACATTACAGTTTCGATTGTTTTACACACATTTTCAGAAAGAATGCCTCATATTCTCAGAACTCTACACACAAATCAAAACACACACACACACACACACACTGGGCAAAACCCCTCAATATTGACTTAGGCCTTTTTTTTGTTCAGTGTTACACTTACTACAGACAGTACATACATAAGTGTGTTGTAAAATATTTGACAATATTGTGTTTATACTCAGAACACACAGATACACGGTAACAAATATATTTTATTTGTCCCACAAAAACATTGTACACAGTGTACATCCCATTCCCAACCAACACAAAGTTGCACATACACTACATACAAAACAACAGAAGAATTTACTGTACACAGTTACAGTAAAAAAACAACCTAAAACCAAACTATGCTGCATCCTCTCTTCTGTTGCGGTCTGGCCACAGCACCTCATCCACATCACAAGCAATGTTTTTCCTGGCCAAGCAGTGGGGGAAATATCGCCAAGCATGGCGATTCCAGCCATGAAAAGCATCAGCTGCTATATCTCCACATGCATCCTCCATAGCTTGGAGGAGAGGTATACGCGTTTGTGGATTTCGGTCATACACTTTCCATCTCCAGGCAGAAAAAAAATTCCTCAATAGGATTGAGGAATTTGGAGGGAGATAAACAACTAAAAAGCGTGGGTGGGCAGTGAACCAGTTACGAACCAAAGCAGCCCTGTGGAAACTTACGTTGTCCCAAATGACAACGTACCTGAGCTGCTCTGGCCCGTCTACCTGATCTGGTGGAATGAGTGTGTTGTGTAGGGTGTCCAGGAATGTGATCAGATGGGCGGTGTTGTAGGGGGTAGCATGGTGATGGATGACGCCGTGGTGGGTAATTGCTGCACACATTGTGATGTTCCCTCACTTTGAGTGTAAAGCAGGAATTGTGCTTGTAGTTTAGCAGAATTGGTTCAGGGGGTTGGTGAATGAGTTACATGTTGTGGTCATTGTGTCTCAAGTACCAGAATTTGTGTGTAAACAATTGAGAAAAACTGTAAAAAAGGAGTTACACAAAATGATCAGCAGGTGTCGCACTGCACCTCCATCAGCTGTGATCACCTGGAGCCACTTGAGAAAACACTTGGTTATTCTGCTGTGCTTAAAGATTCAGGTCTGCCATTTTACTTTAGTGCTAATATTTGATAATAAAAACCAAACAGAAAGTACAGCTTATGCTGATGTTATTTGGTGATGAAAATAAATAAAACTGAAATGAAATTGTGCTAAATGAAAGTTTAAGGGATGGCCTAAGTTATTAATTAAACCTTCAGAGGGACCGAACTTCGTGGCAGAAAATGTCCCCAGAATGCAGGAAATGGGGGAGTTTTTTCTAAATAATAGGCCTATTGAAGTATTTTCTTGTCTTGTTGCCATGGCCCCAATCTTGTGCAATGTCACATCTCATGGGTTAAGAGTTTCGTCTCACTCCTAATCTGAGCCCTTAAAGGGAAGGATGGCGTATTGGTGGGGGGTGTCCGACCGATTTTGGTGGCCCTGGACTTCTGAATCTGTCTGAGGTTCAATTAGAACATTCTTAACTTCACCACAATGTAGGCATATAAACTTCAGGTTTCAGCATTTGTTAACATTGCAAGCGTGCCTCATGGCCTCACCTGCAAAAAACACAACAGTCGATTTTATCCATTAAAAGTCAAATTTTATTACACATTTAAGTTCCAAAAGCACTAGTCATATTTAGCCTACGTCACATAGGCCATTTCCAGAATACAAACTTTTTTAAGCTTTTTAAAAATCACTTTGCCTGCATCAAGGAGCACATACCTTTGCATAGTGGGCAAGCCAGCTATATAAACACAGCAGGGAGTGTCCCCGGTTGGTGCATAGCTACAAGGTCTGAACACAGCACTTAATGAACGAGCGAAAATTACAGAAAATGTGTTTTGGAAGAGAAGTGATTCAAAAAAACATGTGTCCCCAGTCCAGCCGTTTTGGCGGTGTGTGCCAAAGGTGAAGAGCCATCAGTCCGGTCTTTAAGACCAGCCGTAGAGGACACAGACTGCAAGTGCCAACGGAAGCAGCAGGGTGGAGCCGTTGTTGTTCCTCCCTCCGCAGCCGTTATTGGTTGTAGGCTTGGCGGTTGTAGTGGTTGTAGGTGCAGTGGTTGTAGTGGTTGTAGGCGCAGCGGTTGTAGTGGTTGTAGGTGCAGCGGTTGTAGTGGTTGTAGGTGCAGTGGTTGTAGTGGTTGTAGGCGCAGCGGTTGTAGTGGTTGTAGGTGCAGCGGTTGTAGTGGTTGTAGGTGCAGTGGTTGTAGTGGTTGTAGGCGCAGCGGTTATAGTGTCCGCGCCCTTGACCACCTGCAACATACAAGACCATATCGTCCTGTTCTTCACTTTTCATGTTCAATGTTTATATACTTTTTTGACGTTCAAAGTGATTTTTGTGTCTGAACAATTAGACAGGTTTGAGAAAATCTTACTCATGTGCTTTAGGAAGTTACAATATGAGGCTATACTGTTAGAATGATGTTACCCTTAAACAGCTGGATGACACAAGTCTGTTAAAATGGCAGGGACAGGACATTTGAGCCAAAAGTTGAGCCAGATATTTTACTGTAATTTTACATTGCATTCTTACGCATCACCGAAATGATGTGACAGTATGCACTTTAGACCAGAAACCATTATGTCATGCTTCTATAAATGGAACACAGACAGGCTGTCCTGTTGTGGGTTTGGGCAGAGGAGCGGGAGAGGTACAACAATGGGAAGTCCATTCATCAGGTGGCACGAGACATGACGATAAACAGGATGACTTTAAAGCAATACATTGATATGAAACAACTAGGAGACATAGCTGCAGTGTTTCACTATCATTCTGAATGTTGGGACCTGGCGTTTGAGTTTGCATGATGAAATGATATTGATGCCCTCGACCCCCATGTGGCTCAACTTATCCTGAGCCAAGAGTCCACTTTTTTTTGGAAACAGTTTATTTTAGATCCAGATTGATTATTTGCACCACATCCTAAAAAATATGGACATATTTTATTTTTATAAAATATATTATTATTTTATTTTTTTAATATTTATTAATTTATTCTTTTTATTTAATGGAGACCTTACTGTCGTGTCCTCACTTTAAAGGCACCTCAAGTAAAAACTGGCTCAACTCCTACCACAATACTGCAGCTATGTGAAGTTACTAAAGATGCAAATATTCGCTAGTAATGTTTTTTTCAATCAAAACACAAAACGTGTTCATAATACACTAACATGCAGGATTAAAACTCCTCAAATGATGTCCCAAAGACCATCTTGAAGATATTTTCCAGAGAATCCCTTGACTTTTTAATTGTTTCAGTGTAATTAGACGAGGCAATAAAAGCTAACCTCAGTTTCTGAAAAAATAAAATTGGAGACATGTTAGCACAGTCAGAGAAAACCATGTCTCCAATTTATTTTTAATTTGGGTCCAAGGATCAAAGTCATTTTCTCTTTACAGTTGTAGCCTACATTTCTCTTAAAGACATGAAACAATGAATAAAATCTCGATGTGCCTACTTCAGGTTATAAAACCCCTCAAATCTATTGAGTAGGCTAGGGAGCGGAGCCTACATTTAAAAAGAAATTATTTCTGCTTGTAATCCTCCTACATTGCTCTTCTTTATCACAGGCTGGTGTAGAGCACCACTCTGTGTTTACAGCTGAAACATTTTAGGAAGAAATTTAAGACCACCATGTGACATTAGAGCTGGTTATAAATCTAGGAGAAAAACAACTTGGTTGTACATGTGTTTTTCCGCTTTTCTTTCAGAGAAAACACATTTAGATTTACACACTGTTGAAGTTAAAGACAGAATGAAACGAGGCTCAAAACTAACCTGTGATGACATGAGATAAACAGCCAGCAGGAGGACTCCAAGATTAACTATAAACATCTTATTCATCTTGGCGTGAACAAAGGGTGACTCGATGCTCCGCTCTGCTTAAAGGAGTGAATGACAAGATAGACGCAGCCCCGCTTTATATACATAGACTGCATACCCCTAGGTGACATCATCATCAGCTACTTAACCAATGGCGTAACTACCAAATATGCAGGGAATGCAGAATAGACCGAAGGCAGTTGCACAGAGGCTCGCACTCATTGCAGGGCCCATAATTCAAAGGTCAAAATCAAATGAAACTGAACGAAGCCATAGAAACACACACAATACATGTACTTCTGTTTGTAGCAGCCTCTTACTTCATGGCAGAGGTGGGACCAAGTCATCATTTTACAAGTCATAAGTAAGTCTCAAGTCTTAGCGCTCAAGTCCCAAGTCCAGACCGATCATGACGGGCAAGCCCGAGTCATGTCCCGAGTCAAGACCAACAAGTCCCAAGTGAAGTCCAAGTCCTGAACTTTAAGTTTTGAGTCCTAACAAGTCATAATGTTCTCCTCACCAAATTTAAAACCATTTTTTCAAGTTTTTTCAAGTAAAAATTTTTTTTTACGCTTATTGAATGAAGCATTGGCCTGTATAGAAAGAAGGTAGAGGTGCAGTTTCACACAACAGATGTTCTATAATTTCATGAATTAAATTAAATGTTCATGTAGGGCAGCTATTTATTTTAGTCAATTATTTAACATGATTGCTCATTGAGCCCTGCGATGGACTGGCAACCAGTCCAGGGTGTACCCCGCCTAGGGATGGAGATCAAGACCTGGTTCCAAAAGGACCGGGTTCCAAAATGTCTCAAAACCCGAAAATCAGGTAAAGGACAATCATCAAGGTTCGAGCTTATCGATACTGCTATCGAGACTTGCGGGCTATGATATAACGTTATGTCTCGAGCGTCAAATCTGATTTAATTTGAAACGCAATGGATAAGAAAATCATCAGGCTGCAGTCTCTGCCTGCTCTCTGTCAGCTCCTACACACACACACACACACACACACACACACACACAGCGGCAGCAGAGCGAGAGGATGCGCCGTCGCGGTGGAATGTGGTGAGGGTTAAGTTACCTCCAAACTGCTGTAACTTTAGTTGATGACAGCTACGCTTGTTACTAAAACTTTCGCAAGTAAAAAGACAATACTTTATCAATACACCTATCTATAAGGTAACGTTAAACATGTAGAAATGGTTAATTAAAGCATCTCTGTCCTCAGCACAGCTAACGCTAGCTTGGCATTAGCCAAATGTTTTTCTGGAGCACAGACTGTTCCCCTTCGAGGGAACTCGAACTGCGTCGGTGACGACACTATGGGAACGCCTCTGGGCGTGGCAGGGCTGAATTATGAATGAAACTACTCCAATCCTATTGGTGTTGCTAGAATAGAAGCGTGTGATGGCGTAACCGGAGGAGTATGTTTGGAAGCTCCACTATCGAGAAAGTTGTTGTCTTATCTGGAAATCCTGACGAAGCAGTAGAGACCATGTCTGGTAATCAGTTCCGAACAATGTGTTTTTCCATGCCCACGCTAAGCGTGGGCTGGGGAGACTCATGAGATGTGTGTTCCTGTCTGGGGATGTCGCACGGCCAAGCAGCTCTCGGGGGGGCTGCCTGCGGCCATAGCGAGGCCCAGTCCCTGAGGGTGCTGAGGTCTCGTGCGGCTCTCTTTCGGAAGACGGTCGGATGTGCTATCCCCGTGGCTCAGGCCCCGCGGTTGCTGAGTCATGGGGATCGCAGCGTGATATCTCCGAAGGCGTCGGGGCAGCTGAGGCCTTTTTCTGGTCCTCATCTGCTGACTCCGCCTCCTCTCTTCCCCGTTCGGAGCCTGTTTTCTCGGCTTCTCCCGCCCGAGGTATGAGTTTAGAGAGTCTTGCACAGTCTGATTCTGAGGAGCTAGACGTGCTTAGCATTATGGAGGATGACTTCCGTGGAGCCGGGCCAACGTCATCAGTCCGCGCCCAGCTATGAGAGGAGGGGCAGGAGCCGCGGGCCGATAGTAACCTCAATGAGCTTTCTGCAGCCCGAGCGCCACTCCCGCGTCAATCCTTGCCATTCTTTCCTGATTTACACAATGAGTTGTGTAAATCATGGAACAGACCGAGGAAAAAAAAAAGAAATAAAAAAGAGAGCTGCTGTGCACGGCTGACTGCGTCCCCTCTGCTGGACTACAGCAGCGTGACAGAAACTAAGCAGCACGGCTTTGGAACGATGCCTCGGGTGGAGGAAGCACTCGTGAGCTGTCTTTCTCCCACCCTCGCTTCATTCCTTCAGATGCCGGCGCTCCCCACCAAGCCGTATCGGACGACATCCGCTTTGGTGGGCAAGGCCTACATGGCAGCAGGTCGAGCTGGTGCAAGCCTATACACCATGGCCATCTTGCAGGCGTACCAGGCCGATCTTCACAAAGACTGTGACCTAGGCGGAGGTCTCTCTGAGGAGGACCTGACTGAGCTCCATGTTACCAAGGAGACGGCCTGTTCCAGTGGCTACGGAACGTCATCTGTGGCATCCAGGGGAAGGAGAAGGCTTTTCTCCTGGATATGCCCCTCTCTCCTACTGGCCTGTTTGGTGAGGCAGTGGATGCTGTCGTCAGCACGCCAAAGGCAGGGAGAGGCGTTGGAGCAATATCTACCCCGCCGGTCTGGCTGAAGAGAGACGAGCTCAGCCCTCAGCTAGTTCCTACCGCCGGAGCCAGAAGCGAAGCTTCGCTTCCCATAGTCCCTCTCAACAAACCTGGGATGTGAGGTGACGCTCTCAGCGCTGGCTGAGGCCCCCTTCAAACCCCTGGAGTCGGCTGAGGCCATTTCTTTCTGCTCGCTATCACCTCTCTGAGGAGGGTGGGGGATCTCCAGGCACTTTCGATTTCTCCGTGATGCCTGGAGTTTGCCCCAGGGAGGGTCAGGGCCATCCTGCACCCTTGTCCAGGTTATGTCCCTAAGGTTCTGGCCAGACCGGCAGGGTCCACGGTGCTGCAGGCATTTCATCCCCCACCTCATGTGATGGCGGAGAATGGGAGACTTCATCTGCTCTGCCCTGTCAGAGCACCGAGTATTTACACTCTGAGGTCTTCCTGGTGGAGGAAACCAGACCAGTTGCTGGTGTGTTTCGGGTCCCCCAAGGCTGGGCTCCCCGCTTCTAAACACACCATCAGCAACTGGATCGTTCAGACTATTTCCCTGGCCTATCAGGTGCGCGGTATTACCTTCACCTATGGCCGTAAGGGTGCACTCTACTCGAGGCATGGCGGCTTCTTGGGCCCTCCTCGCAGGGGCGTCACTCCAGGATTTGTGTGACGCGGCTGGCTGGGCCACCCCTCACACGTTCATTCGGTTTACAGTCTGGACCTTCCTTCTGCACCCGTGTGCTCTCCTCCTAGTCGTGCCGTCAGGTTCTGCACGCTGGGGGCAGGCGGGGTTTCGGCACACACTAAGTGGGTTTCTCGTTCCCATAGTGTCGTCACCGATGTCCTGTGTGCCGGCGTGCTTATATACCCCTACAGTTACACCGTCACACGCTACCGTTCTAGCAACACCAATAGGATTGGAGTAGTTTCATTCATAGTTCAGCCCTGCCACGCCCAGAGGTGTTCCCATAGTGTCGTCACCGACGCAGGGTTGTGTGATGTCAGATAAAGTTATTGAGTTACTTTGCTGTTGTAAACATTAATGTTGCTGCTCTAGAAACAACACTTAGCTGTATTTAAAATATTAAATTAAAAACAACTAGGCAGTAATATGTACACTTCAATATATGTTATTTATTGCAAGTGATATGTCATCTCAATATATAACGTTATTGCACATTGGGTCTGGTCTTACTAAATAACCATCACTAAATAATAGTAAAGTATCAATAGTGGTATTGATAAAGAATCGGATCGTTAAGCAGTCTCAATAAGGGTATCGATATCAATAAAAATGAACAATCCTCATTCCTAACCCCACCTTTCCTATATATGCATTACTCCAAAATCCCAAATGGCCCATGAAATATGAAATAATAATCCAACATTATAACTTTAAGCAGCATCTAGAGTGCAAGAGGACGACAGCAGCACAGTTTCTCCCAAGTTGACCGCTTTGGGTGACGGATGGGCCACTGATGGGGCTCTGTGTGTGTGTGTGTGTGTGTGTGTGTGTGTGTGTGTGTGTGCAGGTGACAGGTGAACTACTCAAGTTGACAAAACTACGTTACGGAATGATAAAATACAACCATGGTGTTTTGTCGGGGATGCAGTGACTTAAACCAACGGTGAGAAAACTATAACTCGCTATGATGTGTGGTGTCCGAACAATAATGCTGCGATGATGTGTTGAGAGGAAACCCGCTTGACACTGTTCTTGATCATAAAAGTTTATTAAATCAAAGAGTTCTGTCTCTCTGTACATCAAACAAAGCTTATTTTATATAGGACATGTTTAGTATCTGTTAGGTACCATAGAGGGGTTTGAGGCTGCAAAGTAAAAGGTCAACTCCATAGAAAGGTACAGTACTATTTTGAAGTAACAAAACAAGGGGTTAGAGGTCAAATTCTATAGAAGGGTTCAGTCCCTACATAACCACCAATCACTACTCTCCCCGTAGAAGGTCACTGACCCTCTGTCTTGCTGCTACAGTGCTATTTTGAACTGTCAAATGCACAAATATTGGATACTACAGACGTTAGAAGACGCAGACACGGTGGATATTTTACAAGCAACAATCAGGTAAAGCAACACTGAGCACACCAGGGGCCTGTACCACGAAGCAGGATTTGAGCTTATCCAGGTAACTTCGGGGTTAACCCTGGGTGTTCAGCACCACGACAGCAGTTCACTTCTTACCGGGGTAGATCGCCATGGTAACTCATGCTGAACGGCTAACCTGTTCCGGAGCAGGTTATGTTCCAGATAAGAGATCAACTCTATAAAAACGGCGCCTACTGACCAATCAGCTCTCTTAGAAAATGACATCACCATCTGTAGGAGATCCCACAGACTGTTTTATAGGCTGCTTTTAGGCTACAGCAATATAATCCTACAGAGACTGATT